AACTTGATTGATGAATTCTTCTCCACTCCCTATGACTTGTTAGCTATACAAACACATTCAGTGCGGCAAGCGTCTCTAAAATATATAATTATATTAAGCGCAAATTTTTTATCAGACAACTTTTGTCTAAGAATTGTTTGAGTGAAGTATTTTAATATATATTCGAAAGCGAATATCTGCGATTCTTAAATTCTAAGTTATTCGAAACGCGATACGAAATTGAAAATTTTTAATTTTCAAATTATAGTTTATACACAGTGGATTTGAATGATCGAGTATTGCGTGGGGAGGAGGGGATTTCGAACATTTGACTGCAGATATTTGAAATATTCCAATATTTTGTTTGATGTTCGAGTGTTAAAATTGATTACTCGTTTCTAACAGTGTGCATCTGTGATAAGTATATTTGCATTATCCGGTCATAGGAAAACTTTTATGAACTCCTATCGAAAGTGGGCAATGGTGGACTAGTTCTGCAATTCTCCAGCATAATTGAGGAGAACCTTCAATCCTAAAGCTCAGAATTGTGTAGATTTTTTCAATAGAAATAACTCCTGATAGTCACTTTATGATTTGTTATCTCATATCCAGTGCTTATTAAAAAATATCCCAATATATGTGCATCTGTTTATTATTAACGTATCCAGTTATGATAAAGCGCTCACCCCCAATAAAACGACAACAAACAATGATTTCGGATATTATTGGAAGTCCTGGTCATCATCATCCTCATCATCATCGAGGTTTTCACGATAGTTTATCTTGATTTTCGGTGCCTCAGGAGGGTAGGCTGCATCAGCAGTTAGCTAAAAAATTTGCAGACTTTTTTATTAGTACTAAACGAAGAAATAAGAATACTAACGAGCTTGACATCCATAGAAAGACCGCCGTCAGCGAATTTCTTGGCAGCAGCTGCAAAGTTAGAGGCGAAATCGGCTGCAAATTTGAAAAAGTGAGTTCAATAAAAACTCTCATTTTCCTGAACAACTTTTACTTTTTAGAAGGTTATAGGCTTCAGGCC